TTTGCAGTGCGCAGGCTTCTCATTGCAGTGGCTTCTCTTGTTGCGGAGCATGGGCTCTAGGTGCGTGGGCCTTAGTAGTCGTGGCTCGTGGGCTCTAGAGCACAGGCTCAGTAGCTGTGGCACACGGGCTTAGTTGCTCCATAGCATGTGGGATCTCCCCAGACCAGGGCTCAAACCTGTGTCCCCTGCATTGGCAGGCGGATTCTTAACCACTGTGCCACCAGGGAAGCCCGAATTTTGTATTTTAGAGCCAGTGCTTTTTTGCGTCTTGTTTAAGAAATTGTTATCTATCTGAATTTGTAAAAGATATTTACCTATGCATTTAAATTTTAATTTTTGATATCTATGTCCATAATTCATTGGGAGTTGGATTTTGGTATATTATATGAGGCAGGGGTTCAATTTTATCTTTTTCCATGTGGATCACCCTTTTTTTCTAACCATTTATTGAACATCCATTATTTTCCCTATTTATCGGACATACCACCTCTGTTGTGTACCATAGTTCCGTGTGTGTGTGTGTGTGTGTGTGTGTGTGTGTGTGTGTGTGTGTGTTGTGTTATCTGGACTCTACTGATCAATTTGTCTGTCTCTCTGCCAATACCACACTGTCTTAATTCCTTTCATTTCTTCATAAGTTCTTATATCTAATAGGTCATGTCTCTTCTCCCTCCTCTTTTTCAAAAATATCCTTGCTATTCTTGACCCTATGTTCTTCATATAAATTTCAACGTCATCTTATCAAATTGTATGAAAAATTCTTTTGGACTTTTCACTGGAATAGCATTGAATATATGTATCAATTTGGGGAGAATTTATATCTTCATGATACTAAGTCATAAACGTAGTATGTATCTCTATTTAGATCTGCTTTTATTTATCTATTTATTTTTAGATATGCTTTTATTATCTTTTGTAAGTTGCATAATTTTCTCTATAGAGGTTTTACATCTTTTATTAGATTTATCTTAATTCTTTGATCTCTTTGTTATAATTATAAATCATCTTTTCTTCAGTTACATTTTCTAGGTGTTTGTTGCTTGTATAAAAAAATGTAATTCATTCTTATGTCTTAATATTATATTTAGCCATCTTGCTAACCTCTATTATCTCTGTTATTTGTTGGTTTGGGGGGGGTTCTTTCTAAATTACTATGTCAAACAAAGCAGTTTTGTCTCCTCATTTTGAATCCTTATGTCTCTAATTTATTTTTCTTATCTTATTGACTGGTTAAGACCTCCAGTAAAATCATTGTGATTTTAAAGGGAATGCTTTTTACCATTTCCCATTTCAGATTTTTTTTTCTTAATGTTCAGGTAAGGACATTCTTTTAATAATTTAGCAAGTGTCCTTATTATGGAAGGATTAAGTTTTTTCAAATGCTTTTCTGCATCTATTGAGATGATCATGTTTATTTTTCCTCTTAATAGGTTAATATGGTTAGTTATGTTTATGAATTTTTCTAATATTAAATCATTCTTCCATATCTGAGATAAGCCCAGTTGGTCATTCTTCCATATCTGAGGTAAGCCCATATTCTCTTTTTATGCACTGTTGAATTTAATTCAGTAATATTTGTTTAGAATTTCTACATCTATATTTATGAATGAAATGGCCTTAATTTTCCTTTCTTGTAATGGCTTTGAATAGTTTTAGTATTAGGGTTGTGCTTGCTTCATGAATTGAGTTGGAATTTCCTCTTTTTCTTATTGTCCTGAAGAATTTGGACAGTTTAGACCATCTAAAATTTAGATGGTCTGTTTCTTCAAATTTTGATAGAATTGGCCTATAAAGCCATCTGTGCCTGGTATTTTCTTTGTGAGTATATTTTTAACTACCACTTCAATTTAATAGTTAAAATACTTATTTGGGCTACTTATTTTTTCTTGACTTAGTTCTGGTAAGATTTTTTTTTAAATTTCTGCATTTTAGCTTAAATTTACAAAATTGTTTTATATGGTTGTTATTACTATCCCCTTATTCTTTTTAATCTGATTTTATTTTTAGTTATATTCCTGACTCCTAGAATTCTGACTCGCATATTTGGGTGATCCTGCTTTTAATGGGTCCTGCTCCATTAATCTATTGCCCTTTATTATTTCATACTAGCATTAGAGTAGCAACCCAGTGGATCTTGTTTGTTTTTAGTCGCCTTCAGTCTCTCCTGTAAATTGTCTTAAACTGAACCTTTCTGAATCACTGTATTTACTGTTATTTCCTATTAAAAATCTCTTACTCCTAGCGTGAACTCCTAATTGCTTAAAGGCACTGATTTACAAGGTAACCAACGACCCCGTGCTCTGATTACAAGCATACTGATACATACCAGTGTGCCCATTGTCTCTTGAGCATCTCGTCTTAATTTGTTCCTTGTTCGTCCCCTTCTCGTTGGGGACTATATATATAATTTATTCTGCAATAATTTTTTGTGAAGAAAGATGAAGTTAAAATTCTCCCAAATGGATGTATATAAGGTGGTTTTTTAAGTGTTTCACGAGGACAAGAACCACATGTCTCTTGTTCACTGTGTATTCAGCATTTATCACAATGTCTAGCACACAGTGAGTTCTCAGTAATAAATATTTGAACTGTGCACTTTTTAATGTCTTAAATTTTTTTTTTTTTGGTAATTCTCTGCAGTATTCCCCCCTTACCTGCTGTTTTATTTTCCATGGTTTCAGTCAACTCTGGCTGAAATATTAAATGGAAAATTCCAGAAATAAACTATAAGTTTTAAATTGTGTGCCGTTCTGAATAGTGTGATGAAATCTCATTCTGTCCTTCACTGTCCCACGTGGGATGCATCCCTTTGTCCCTCATGTGTGCTACCAGCCTGTTAGTATAGGGAAAAACATGATATATATGGGGGTTGGTACTATTCCATGTTTGAGGCATCCATTGGGAGTCTTGGAAGATATCTCCCAAGGATAAGGGGACCACTGTGCCATTTATAACATAACCACTTGGTGGCACTTAACTCATTTAAAAACCTGAAGAGGTATGTTTACACTGATGCACACCATAATGACTGTTCTTCACATATATGCAAAATGAGCTGAAATAAATCGTGGACAGTGTAAATCCTTATTAACACCGGAAGAGAAGTATCAGTAACCACGAGATTTTTTTCTTTTTTTCCTTTAAAAAAAAAAAACAGGTTTATTGAAATACAATTGGTATACAAAAAACTGCACATGTTTAGTGTGTACAATTTGATGAGTATGAAAAAAAAATTCCTAAAGTGATAGGTTACAGACTTGAAGTCCTTAGATCATAGGAATGTTTGATAGTATTCTCTGCCATAGCCTCAGCATCTAGCCTAGAATTGGGTACATATTATATCTTTAATGTGTCATCATTTTGAAAGGATGTGTGAATGAGTATAAAATTTAACTTCTGCTAACTTCGCTTCTACCAACCCATCTCCAGATAATTTTGGCCCAAGATAAGGGAGCACTAAGTCTTGTTTTAGTTAACGACCTTTATGATGTCTCCTTTAATCATTAAAAATTTTCATCCAAGTTTATTTACTAAAGAACTGTGACTCAGAATACATATTAAAAGAAATCAGCAGCAATGTTAATTGGATTCTAGATCTCCTGTTACTTTTCCTTAATCGTCAATCATAAGATAGTTTGAGTACAAAATACTGTAAGAGGAATTACAAGAATGTGGTGGTATCACTGAGAATTGGGAGTAAGACAGTGTTCTCTAATGGAAAAAGCAGCCTTATCAAGGAATTCTTCAAACATACTGCAGTCAAAAATGTAAGAACTGGTGGGTACTCACAAGACTTCAAAAGTCTGGCAAAAAAAAGTACAGGAGTATAAGAGTTAATGAGGGAAGATAATAGAAAAATTTTCTTTTGAAATCAGGCAAGATAGAAATAATTTACCAAATTTTAAGATCATAAGTGAATTAGCATTTTTGGAAAATGGTATTTAATTATAATATTGTAATGGAATATAGCAATAGGACTAGACTGTATTCTAAAAAATCATTTATCAAGTTTAATTTAACTCTACAGTTAACCTTGCTGGTGTTCAAAGTGATCATCTGAGGCTCTTTCCACCTCTGTGATCTCAGCCCTGTGTAGGTGCTGTAGGGAGTGTGGCAGAAGTCCTTGTCCATAAGTAGGTTATAATCTTGTTGGAGAGACCACATACATGTACAGAGCCAGCCTCGTGTTGTGGCTAAGTACACAAAATTCTAGAACCAGATCACCTGCCTCTTGCTTAGCTCTGTGCCCTTTGGGCAAGCTACTTAACCTCTTTGTGCCTCAGCTTCCACAAATGTAAAATGAGGATAATAATATTACTCTTTCTTCATAGGCTGTTGATTGACAGGATTAAAAGAATTAATACATGTGAAGTGCCTAGAAAATTACCCACACATAGTAGGTGCTATCTAAATGTTCTCTCCTCTCACTAGAATGTAAGGTCCACAAAACTTGTTTAATAAACAAGTTAATAGCTAGATGACAGCGCTGTAAAGATTGAATTGAAAAATATGTAGACAGTATATACACGTTTTTAGGAATTCAAATGAGGGAAGAAAGTAATATGAGCTGTTGAATAAGTTCTCTAAGAGCCACATTGGTGAGTTGGAGCTTGCGTTGGTTACTGAAATAGGGGTTGAATATTTATAGGTAGAAATGAGCACAGGAGGAAGTGAATAAGAGGGAAGGACAAGCTCTTTTGGTTTAATTAGATATATGTTTTAGACCAGGAAGACTGGTTTTGTTACCCTAACTGGATTGGTTTTTACTGATATTATGAGTTCATTTAATTTATTCGATTTTCTAGAATCTTCAGCTCCAGAATTGCAGCAAATTCCTGAAAATAGAGTAGATTGGGAATTGATCATGTTTATTATGTTTATGCTAAGACTATATGAAATAAAATTTGGAAACTTTTTTTCATATTTTGGGGGTCATCATCACCAGTTAAAAACTGTTTTTTTTAACAAATCGATAATATTTTTGCTTTCATATTTTATAGGTAATTAATAATGCTTGTGCTACTCAAGCCATAGTAAGTGTGTTATTGAACTGTACCCATCAAGATGTCCATTTAGGAGACACATTATCAGAGTTTAAAGAATTTTCACAAAGCTTTGATGCAGCTGTGAGTACAGTCGTATTATTCCTAAAATGCCCTGTTTGTGATGGTTCTTATTTTAATAGGCTATTCTTAAAACTTATTTCAGATGAAAGGTTTGGCACTGAGTAATTCGGATGTGATTCGACAAGTACACAACAGTTTCGCCAGGTAAAGATACTTTATGTGAAATAAATACTGTCTCTGTTTTTTTGTCTCTCACTGTTTTTTTCTTCACTGTAGACAGCAAATGTTTGAATTTGACGCAAAGACATCAGCAAAAGAAGAAGATGCTTTTCACTTTGTCAGTTATGTTCCTGTTAATGGAAGACTGTATGAATTAGATGGATTAAGAGAAGGACCGATTGATTTAGGTAATGTGGTTACTATTCCTGGTATTTCACTTTTGATAAGGAAAAAAAGATTGGGTGTTCACCTTTGGTTTAGCCCTAGTCCTGCTGA